TTTAATATCGGTATATCATAATAATTATACTGGCAATTATATTATTTAAAATTAATTCAAATTGTTTAAAACTGGTCCTATCGATCGTTTTTCAATTAATGAATCATTGGTTGAACTATTATATCACTATATCAGTATCATGATTGGTTTGATAATTGATACGTGATTAATATTATTGCGCCGAATAGCGTGAAAAAAAATTCAATTTATTCTTAGAAAAGAGAAAAACTTGGATAGAGACGAATCTAACAAGTCATGTTTAGAAATAAGTGCATTTATGTTCTTTGATGCTATAATTTAGGATAAAATTAAAATTTGAATGTGTTGTCAAAAAAAAAGTTGGTTTCTTTACATATATACGTCTTCATACAAATCTTTCACGTTAGAAAATAGGGAAGTACATTTAGTTTCTATTAAAAATGAGAAGTCTCAATTTAATTCTAATTTGTTTACATAATTTAATTCTTCACGTAATTTAATTCTTATTAAAGATCAATTTGACCTATATGTAAAATAGTAAGACCAATTTTTTTTTTCATTTTTCATGATCAAATATACTTTACATATACCAATTTCAATGACTATTGTTCTTAATCTATTACCGAAAGAATTTTTCTATTTGAAATAAACACGGGCTAATTTCATTTGTTTTCACATAGTTTATAATGGAATATCGTTTTCTCATAGTGACATTTTACTGTTAAATATTGTAATCGATTAAAAATTAAATTAAAAGTTTAATTATTAAATATATTTCTAATCAATCATAATAATTGATATAAGATAGAAGATTGATTTTCGTATTTATAATACGAGTTTTACTCTAACCCACTTAATCATGTAGATAACTCATGGATTTCAACCTTTGTTCACAATTTTTAAATCAATTAACAATTTGGCATGACATAATATAGATTATAATTTATACCCAACTTTTTCATTTTTTTAAATTTTTTAACCAAAGTTCCAACACCATTGAATAACATTTACCTACTACACTTTATATACTCTGATAGTGTCTTCTGATTTTGTTTAAAATAATAATAAAAAATCACTAGTAAATGTTTACTCCAAAAATGGTGTATTTAATATATTAAACAATATGTATTTAGCTTTGAGTTTAATATTTTTACATTGTTGATGCAAAAAAATACTATTATTATATTACTCATCATATTCATTGTATTATTTTATCATAATACATATATTGAGTACTCAGCATGAACTAAGACCCGACCTTATTTCCGAAGTTAACCAGACCTTGAATAGTTATAAGGTCGGCTTTTAAACTCAAACCTGACCCCAAACTCGATTAAAGACAATCTATATTCATTTTAGATAAAGTATTCTAAATATTATTTATAAAATGATCAATAAATAATTATGTTGTTTGGCTTCAATTTTCTTTAAAGCATGACTTATCATTTTTTATGCTGATAAACAAAAAAATTATTTTCTCTTATTATAATTTTATTTAATTTTCTGTTGTTACTATTAGTAAAAATTTAGTTATATTGTCTTTATGGTTGCTCCTCCTATAATAAAAAAGGTTGTTGGTCATTTATTCAAATGCTTGTCTCTGCCAATAGTTCTCATGCTTCAACATATTATCTTTAGGTGAAACATTAACGTACAAAATTTGAATTTACATGAGCAATGCTGCATTTTATTTTAATGAAATTACATGAAACACCCCTCCATTTTTTGTCCTTATACGAACTACCCCTAATTTTGTGGGTGATTCGTGTAGGAGGTATGGGTGGTTCGTGTAAAGACAAAAAAGGAAGAAGTGATTTGTGTAATTTTAATAAAACTCAGGGGTGTGAGTGTAATTTACTCTAAAATATGAGTATGGTTAAGATGGTAAATTGACTTTCCCCTCACAGATTTTACTCTTAGTATATAAATCCAAGAAGATTATATCAATAAGTTATTGGTACAGTGATGTAAGACTCTTCTAAATTTTTAAAATGACCAAAAAGTTAAAGATTCGATTAATGTGAGTAACAATTATTACAATCACACACCTAAAAATGATTAATACCTTTAGTGATAAGACTTGGTAGTATACTTTTTTTTTCCAAAAAAGACTATGTAGAAGCACTTTCTAGTTATTATAACTAAATAACTAAATTATATCAACAAAAAAAAGACTATTCACCAATTCCAAAAAGAGCCTAAACCTAAATGTTTTAAGAGAAAAAATATTATATACGGGTTGTTATTGCAAAAGTTTTTATACTTTTGGTGCCTCATTATTTCTTAATCAGCATAAATAATACATATAAATAATAAATAATATATCAAACGGACAATATAGATATTTTTTTAGAACCTTTCATAATTAATGAGAGAACTCCATTCAATATGGATAGATCAACCATTGAATATATCCAACAATGATCATTCGAAAGTCTTGAAATTGTTTATTGATTCTTGAAAACAATAAAGTACAACCTAGAAAGTTGAAATAACATTTTCAATATGTCTTTAAATTTAAAAATATGACAAAAGTTAATTCTTTATGATCTCTCTATGGAGTTGATATCTACAATAATGCGAGAATAGTCTTCTATTGATGAGATTAAGTGTTACAATCTTAGAAAGAGATGACAAATTTTATAAGGACAAAACTTAGGTAAAATATTATTCGTGCTAGTAGTACAAGTGACCTATTAGGGGATGACACATGAACTTTTTTGTTTACTTTCAAATAATGAACATTTATTAGATTTACAATCAATCATTTTTTGACACCGAAAGTAAATAAAAAGGTTCAAGTGTCATCATCTAATGGATCACTTATACCACTAGCACTTATGTTACTTTACCTAAGTTGTGTCCATTTTATAATCATACTTTATATTGTGAAGATATTTCTCAATCGTTCTCATCATTGTTTACTTCTCAATTTAATAAGAGATTTTTTCATATAAAAATTCTCAGTATCCTTCGCCCATTTTTATTCTATTTTATTTATATGTTTGTCCCTTCTTCAAATGGTTCTAATTTCCCAACAATACTAAACTCTTCCAAGATTACTTTTAATTTTTTTCATTGAAAATTTGTTACATATCTGAATCAACCAACTCATCATGTGAGTAGATGTCTTCTATACCACTATTTCTCTATCCCTCTATATCAAACTAATAAAATCATGTCAATTAATGTTATTATTGCTTTTTGAAAGATGATAAATAAAATAACATATAAATTTTATTTAGGTGTCAATACCCTATTAATTTGATATAAAGAGATTAAGAAATAGTGGTATACAAGATTTTCGCTCCTCTTCCTGTACCCAAAAAAACCAACATCATTCACATAATCCTCATACCATGGTCATGTGATTAATTTGTAATAAATGTTTTTAATTTTTGTTGTGCTAGTAAAAAAATGAGGACACGTGATATGGAAGGGTGGGTGGAGAAACATGGGGAAAAAAGAGAAGGGGCAAGTGAACGTGTATTATGACAAAACTTGAATCCTATTCCAACCAATGTAGTGTGTGTAGGTGCTCTTTTTTATTCCTCATTTTATCTTTACTCTTTCAATGGATTGATTCATTGGTAAGTTAAGAATTTATACAAGTTGACGTTATCATCATTCACATGGTGGAAAAATTCTAAGCTACTCTTAGGTTAATATTTTAAGGGTAGGCAAGAATATATATGAATTTAATCAAACCAAACATTAGATATGAAATGAATTAAATGTAAACAACCAAGCTATTTAATATGGGTTATGTGTGATTCAGCTTCTTTTTTTTTTGCACTAGAAACAAGGAGGGATTAGATTTCTATTATTTATACAACATATCAACACCATACTTTTATATATTCAACACTAGTTTATTATTTTATTCTATCCCTATTAATCATATAAAATAAAATTAAAATTGGGCACATTATACCCTCATATGGTGTACAAATATTGGTATAAAAGGAAGAAGCGTACCTTGTAGCAAGATTTAGATAAAAGGATCTCTTCCGGCATTGGAGAGTGAATTTCTCGTTTCTTCTAAGGTTTTCAATAATAAAAAGTGTTATTTTATTGTAATTAGAAATATAGAGATGTCATAATATATTGTATTTCCATTTGTTTTTCTAAGCACATGTCTCTCAAATATTGAATGAATGTATCATAACTTTTTAATCTTTTTCACTCCTGTGATTTTAATGTTTTAGGATTTCAAGGGGCTATGGTGTTTTTCTCCTTTTACTGAGAATATCTATAGGTTAAACGTGTATTTTGTTGAAGTGATCTATTTTTTGTTAGCAACCGGTGGTTCATGTAGCATATATTTGTTTTCCTAAGCAAAACTCATCTAGAGTCTTGCATATGAAGAAGAAAAAATTGGGAGAGTTAATCTCATTATACTGTGGAGATTCTCAACTAGAACATAGAGCATTCACACTGAAACAAAAATAATATATTTCTCATCATATAATGATATTATATTTTTAGTAGAGATATATTATAGTCTCACTATATTATATTTTTAGTAAAGATTGACAATTATAATTGAAAATAACTGGTGACATTCGCCACATGGTAAATCACTGTCTCTCAGGCCTCGACTGATTCTACCATAGAGGCCAATAATAGACAATAACTCCTATCGAACACAATAAAGTTAATAGTTCGATATAGGCCAATGATAGATAATAACTCCCGTCGAACACAGTAAGTTAATGGTTCGATACACCTATGTCTTTCAGTAGAATACATTGGTATAAAACCTATAAGATAATTGAAGACCAACGTTCTTCTGAGTTTAAGAATAAACTAGATGTGAAAATTTAACTTCAGCAAAAAGGCCATGAATCTCAAAACCCTTGTATTCATATCTTGAAACTGTGTGTTGCATCATTTATTTATGGGTTATGTTCTCATTCCTATATGGATCATGTCATTAACATGCATTTGAGAGATATTATGAAATAAGGAACAAGATTACAAATGTTTGATTTGAGTAGCACTTCTACATTTTGACAACACTAATAAGACTAAGACTGTTATGTTATTGAACATGACAAAAGTACAAATACTGACATACTAATATTTACCGATAAAAAAAGTATGACAAAGGTAGCAGAACTTGCAGGTAGAGCAATCGAATAGCTTAAACAACCACTCGTTAAACAGAGTAGTCATAAAGACTAAACAATAACAAATTATGAAGATGGTTGAATTAAAAAGACCCAATTAACTGCAGTGTTCCATCTACATGTACGCTCCAGATATCAAGTTATAAAATAAGTATCATCATAATGTTATTACAGCGCTACAAAAACATTAATTTAGTCCCACATCGACAATAAAAAGCATATGCGAATGGTTTATATAAGTGAAATGGGAAGGGAAAGGATACGACCTTACTTGAACAGGATCTGTTCTATAGGCTCGTACCATTGTGTCCTTGAGTTCTAAGGAGACAAGAACCTAAGCCTGGTTGATGAATCATGACCGTGTAATCAGAGCGTGATTAATGGCTTTGATGGTCTCTCTTCCGAGAGTGTCATATCTGGCAATAGAGGATCGTTCTCAGACAGTGTTTGACACCGGCTGGGATGGTTACACGGTTGTCTGACAGGCTCGAAACATTTTGTTTATTTTTCATCCTACAAAACAGTGAAGTGTGGGAGCAAAGTAGAGGAGGGTTTTAGTGTTCAGCAATTGCTACTTGAGGCAGAGGACTTGCCACGTAGCAAAAGGAAAACCGAATAGACTCCTCAACAAAGATTTGTGTGTTGGGGATGTAGCTCAGATGGTAGAGCGCTCGCTTAGCATGCGAGAGGTACGGGGATCGATACCCCGCATCTCCATCTTTTTTGAAAAACCCTTTCTTTCTTTTCTTTGCTTTATCATAAGTATGCATTTAACTCATATAGTATAACACATCTTTCTGTATCCAATATCTAAATGAAGATTAAAAACATCTCTTCTTATACTAATAGGGACTCAAAAGAGAAGAAATTTCTCAAACCTCCAATCCACATGAAACAATTCTTAACTTGAGAATGGAGTCTTCACAGCACCAGCTTTTGCTGCAACACCTTTCACAGCCTGAAGATCTAAAACTATTATACAAAAACTGCACATTCCTATATTTAATATGACAGATGGAAAATGACATTGGGGTATGACTATGACAATAACAACTATGCTTACAATTTACAATTATGTCTGTAAGAGATATTATAACGCACCACAAACACTACATTTATATTCATTCATTTATATTAATACAGAAACTATTTGTTGCATCTTTTATTTATGGGTATGTTCTCATTCCTCTTTGTATCATTTCATTAACATACAGTTGAGTGATGTTGTGAAATAAAAAACAAGGTATCCTCATCATAATGTCCTAGCACTGGAGAAACATGAATTTAGTCCCACATCGTGAATAAAATGCAAATAAAAATAGTTTATATACATGAAATGGGAGATGAAAGGTCACGACCTTACTTGAACAGGATCTGTTCTAAAGGCTCGTACCATTGTGTCCTTGAGTTCTAAGGAGACAAGAACTGAAGTCTGGTTGATGAATCATGACCGTGTAATCAGAGCGTGATTAATGGCTCTGTTGATCTCTCTTCGGAGAGTGTCATTTGTGGCAATGGAGGATCGTTCTCAGACAGTGTGTAGAACATCAGAGTTGTAGAACCAAAGCGTTTTACTTAACCTTCGAGGTAAATGATGACCCTCATTGTTTTGGGCTTTCCATGGACTAACCCAAAATGAACCTTTTCCAAAGTTTGTTTTTTAACTATTCAAGTAATGTAAAGTCCTAATTGAAAATTTGTATATTTAATATTAAAAGTTAATATTTACTGAATGTTTAGACAAATAAACAGTTAAACAAGTAGTACGTTTTTTATTTGTCTAAGCTCTTTTAAATTAGCATTGTTTGGTGTTATTATTGAAGGAAAATATGGCAAATGAAATCTTAGATAATAAAAAATTATCAATCTTTTAGCTGTAGCAACTTTTGGTCTTTATTGAAAATGTTGTATTCACATATAAATTTACACTATAAATCCTCCGCATGAATAAATAATAAAAACATTGGATATTTACTATATTGATTATACGTCTCAATTTTGAAACATTATTGTGTAATATTTATGTAATATCTGTATAAATATTATATAAAATTACAACATCATCCATCATTTATTTAAATTACTCTTTTAAATAATGAATGATAGATGATATAATAACATTATATACTATTGCATACTTTTTTTCTCAAACAAAATGCCCATATCTTACAATCAATATTTTCTTTAACTAACATTAAGAAGTATCGACAAGAATATTATGAATTGCTTTAATTATGGCTAAATTATTGTCTAAGTTGATAATTGAAAATAAAGTGATGGACATTTGATGATTTCATGGTCTATAATAACACAATCCATAAAAGAGTTCTTATGTAATTGTTCTCATTCTCCCTCTATGAAGGATATAGAATCTAGACATTCTTGGATAATTAATATTTATTGATCTATACTACTAATAATTAATGTTGTAGATGACTTCCATCATTGTTCTGTGTACCATCAACCATCCAAAATCTTAGAACACCCTACAACTTTTTCTCATGAATCAGTGTGCTACATGAATAAACTACTTCATGTATATACTTGTCAAAATAGACAAATGTAGTTAATTCCTAACAACAATTGCATGTTCTCAAACAAAGCTTATTTCTAATATACATTTGACAACAATAACCTATATTACAGATACCATTATACAAATATCCATTCACCTATCAAACACCAATATAATCAAATTATTGAAACTAGCATTAGGAAGAGATATTACATGGAGAGTAGAAAAATCTTAGTATGTACTATTCAAGCAGCACAGCTAGGCTTTGTAGAGAGATTCATTGTCAAAAGAGACCAGCTTCCATTGAGGACTCATTCAATGCATCACATGATATGATGTTTTTAAAGGGTCAGGCTTGAAAAACTACATAGACTGGAGAGCTTTGAAATACTTTTTACTCCCTTGGCCTGGCAAGCCATAGAGAGCTTAGGGCTCGCAGCCGGGAGAAGTAATCGCTAATTGCGAGGAGAGCTCGGGCTGATTGCCTGGTTGTTAATATCCGAAGCATTTGTTGTAATGTTTGCTGCCGCAGATTATCAGCCTAGTAACACAAAAAAGGGATTGCTAAAAATTGTATCTATTGATTCTATTCCTAAGGATTAAATCCATCACATTTGCATTTCACTGTTCAGTGACCATATGAGGTTACAGGTTCGAATCCTGGAAACAACCTCTCCATTTGTAAGGGTGAGCATGTGTATATATACCCTCCCCAGGCCTCACTTGTAATGGAAAATAGCTCAGTTATTTTGTTGATGATAGTCGGAAAGTAGGAATTACAGTAGAAAATAGGGAGTTAATTACCTGGCGAAGAAAGCCCTCGAGACTACCAAGTTTACCCATGGCCACAGCCATTTGTCCCATATAATTTGCCACATTCCCGGAAGAGGCTGAAGAGTTGGGTGAACCATTTGCCAATGTCTCGGCTAGTGATTGCTGCAATGCATCCATTCCTTGGGACAAAGCATCTTCTGCTTCCTGGGATGACTGCTGCAAGTTATATATGCCCATCACTTGTTGCTCAGTTAAAGGCTCCAATTCATTTACAAGAAGCTGCAACGGTGTCATTCCGTTTAAACATTAAAGTTAGATCACATTAATTATCATACAGATAAAATTATTCAAGTTGTTACTTCTTTAAACATTAAAATGTTCATTAAAAATATCTTCGACTACAATATATTGAGGGGTGGGGGTGTATAGGTGTTCAGACACATATTAGTGAGGCAAAGATGACAAACATTCCAAGTCAAAAACTTTTCACATAATTGATTAGATGATTAAAAGCTAAAAATTCAAAGAATATCCAAAAGGGCTCCAAAACATGTTGGAACATAGTTAGCAAAATATTATCCATATGTTTTGTGAGCACAAAGAACAAAGCTTTAACAAGGGGATGTAGCTCAGATGGTAGAGCGCTCGCTTAGCATGCGAGAGGTACGGGGATCGATACCCCGCATCTCCATTTGTTTTTACTTTAATTTTTAATTGGAGAATATTTGAAGCCTTTTTTTCCAGCACACTAACACAAAAAAATCATATACTAATAGGGATTCAAGTACTCAACAGAGAATAAATTTGTCACCTTGAGGAGCTCGGATGAACGAAAACCTCCAATCCACATGAAACATCTCTCAGCTGGAGTCTTCCACATTCCTGACAGAATGTGGAAAACATCAGCTTTAGCTGCAACACCTTTCAGCCTGAAGATATCATCAAATTGTGTCATGAAGTTGTCGACAATGGTTCGAAGTTCAATGTCTCCAGCATGCGAATTTATTGCAGCCCTTAGCTCATTGGTGTGCCTATTATGCTCTTCTAACCATCGTGCATATTCTACGTCAAATGCCATAGCACCTGAATACCAAGATAATTAACACAAGATATAGAATCTGAAACAGAGCACAAACTTACGCGAAACCCCTGTCCATGCCCATCCATGCTACCGAGTAATACGTCAGAGTGCAAAATCATATCCTAGACTTGCACTATTCACATGCATATGATGCAGTCCAATCACAAGCAACACCAAGTTGACAAATATCAGAAGAGTGCAGTGTTTAAGTGCAAGAGCCAAGATGCAACCAAATGATAAAATGTTCACCAATGAAAAGTGCATTTGTGTTGCTTGTGATTGGACATGGCAACCACCTCTATAGCAGTGCCTCATGTGCTTTCTGCCAATGTAAAAATATAACATATAAACTAATTTCAAATTTCCAGGATACCATATTCTTAACGTCAAGCCATGTATTGATGGATTTCACATTGGCTATAGTTTTAGCTTTAAATTTTATATTATCAGACTCAATATAATCTAAAACTGCTCCAAATAGAAGAGACTACAATGCACTATAATTTCCCAAACTTGAGGTACACAATTGGAGGTAAAGGAAGTTTAAATACCATTTACGCTCATTGAATGGGGCTGATCTTCTGTGCTTGAAATAAATATTCCCTACAAAAGATTAATAACCAAAATCAGACACAAAATGCTGTAACATGGACATGTTATAAAAAAATGGCCTTCAAAAGGATAAGTACGAATTTTGAACAGGGACGGCAAATAAAATGTCGTAAAAAAACCTGCTGGCGGGCTCGCTGGAGTTCCTGCTCAAGTTGGGTAAGTTTCAGCCTACTACTCTCTAATTGTTGCACATATGCCTGAATGAGTAGAAAGGAAAATTACAAACAGGAGATAGAATAAGATGTATGCAATGTAGTCAAACATGACAAATATCTGCATCGCAACAACATGGCAATGCTGCATTCTAAGAACTTGGCCAATTATTTTGTTGAAGTTAGTAACAAAAAGAACAACTTTACATGTTCATTAATAATTAACAGAAAAGGCCCTACCTTTTTCCTCAGTCGGCTTTTTCTGGCAGCCTCACGATTTTGAGCTAGCCGTCGTAGTGTCTGAATGAATATAAAATTAATACATAGAAACAAAATCTTATGTTATATGAGCACAATTACTTTATAGTTTGTAAAACCTTCTGATCTGATTTATCTTTCGATCTATCACTGGATTCACCTCTTTCAGCCTGTAAAACAACAATCGAGCACCATATTTCATGGTAAGAATAAGCATGCTTTTATCTATTCAATAATGATGGAAAAATTATTCTAGGGGACATCACCAATACACATGCAATTAATGATTAATGAATGAGTTAAATTCCTGAGGCATAAACGAAATAAAATCATGAAATCAAAATAGTCACCCTTTGATTTTTATCATCTGTATCATCGGTTGAAGTATCAGCGCTTGCATCTGCCATGTTTGACTCTCCCCAGTTCTCACGATGACCACCAGACATCGGAGTCAGGTTTGGTTGGGGGTCTATTTGCAGTGGCAATGTCTGGGTCCCAGCAATTGCTGCACGGAGGTCAATATCCGGGGTAGCAGATGACTGTATCTTACATGTAAGAGAAGAGTGTAAAATGCAGGAATTCATTATATTTTGGATTCATTTATTGTTGGAATCTCGAAGTCGGTATGAAATTACCTTATTCAAAGCACCAAATTGAACATCAGCACCTAGAGCTTGGCTATTTGATTTCATCTGACTAAACACTGGATCTGAAATATAATATAAAAATAAAAAGGTAATAGAGGTTTAGTAAGGTGCTAATAAGAAGGGGGGTGATAACTCTAATACCATGCATTCCTATCAATATTTGTTTTCTTTAAAAAAAAAAACAAGTTTTCTGATAACTAATCAAATCGTTTAGGGTTTAGGGCATGCGTTTTGCAGTTTTTGTCGTGCATCTTTTAATTACTTTTGAATGATCATACATGAGTCAACACACATTTCTTCTGGAATAATGTAGAAAGTAAGAATTTCACTCATGAAATAGCTATAAAATGAAGGCCCGTGTATGATCCTTCATTAATTGCTCTGAAGATAAACCTATTATGAACAAAAAAAGAGGCATATCGTCAGAGAACTATACCAGCAGCACATGAAAACAATTTGAAAGGATGTTTCCTCATTTGGTATGCCAAAGTCTAATTTGCCACAAAAGCCTAAAGAAATAATACTTGAGTAATGAATGATGGGGTATGCACACAGTACCGCATAAAGAAAACGGCATCTTTTATAAAAAATAAGATTTTTCGCAAGAGAAAGAAATGGAATAGAAGGCTCATATTAGCAGCAAGATATAAACAAATACAAACAGTTGGAAAGGAAAGGAGATAATTCCTGTTTTACATACACCGTTTTTGGGAAAAGCAGTAGTATAAA